TGTTGCTCAGCTATGTCATCTTAGTGCAACGATACCCCACGTGTATCTTTCTCAGGGTTATGTGGATGTTGACGGGGCATGTTGGAGACACACCACTTCCATATTTTTCAAAAGTGGATGCTGGGCCGAAGTCTCATTTTAGCAGGTGAGGACTCTCAAAGGCCACATATATTTTATAAGTATAAGCAGCTCATCAATTCAGATTATGAACAAGTGCATACTATTTGCTGTAAAAAGGGGGAATAGTTGGGGTAAACTTATCCAGGGGTAGTACCCAGTCATCTGCGTCCCGGGCAAAGTTTTCATGGATTCCGAAATCAAAACACAGACAGACCACAAAGAGAGAGAACAGAGAGAGAGAAACTTGTAATACCGGTCCTTAGAATGGCCGGGCTATACAAGCAGAGAATTGTCAAGGTACAAGCCAAGGTCTAAGGAGTAAAGAGAAACGGAACAACGATAGGACAAGCCGAGGTCAAGCATCAGAGAAGACAGGATAAGCGGGAGACAAAGCCAAGATTCGGTAACCAATCAGACAGATGACTAAAAATCACACCCTAAAACTGGTCTACTTACTCAGCCTGGGTGTGAAAATTTTTAAAACAGGGACAATCAGGGCAGTAATAGCTGGTCTCAGCTCTTAGGCACCTCTTGTAAAACACCGTGCACCTTTTCTGGGGGTTTTGTTTTTTAGGGGTTGGTGAAATCTTATAGCAGAACTGACCTGCCTCCATTCATCTGCTAGGCTCCACTGATGGTCTCCTTGTGTGGCACTCAAGTAGCCCAGAAATGAGCTCAAACTGGAATGAAAGAAAAGTGCTTTTAAGCCCAGCATTTGCCTTTTTAAAAATGACAAAGGCATTGTGGATTGCCATCTGCATCAAATATATGCCCACTTTTTTATACCATGCCCTGGTCTTTCACATGATCAAATATGGCTGCATCAGTTGATCCGACAAGTCAACGCTCCCCAAATGCCGATTATATTGCCGTATGCAGACTGGCACTCGTTTACATTCCTCTCTGCCACGAACTGCGACCCTCCGAGTGTTTTCACCATGGATGGTGGTTAAGATGAAAACATCCTTTTTATCCCTGTACTTGAGTGCCAGCAGTTCATTCTGGCAGAGAGCTGCTGTTTCCCCCCTTTTCATTTTTTTTTGTTCGCTAGAGCCTTTGGGAAACCTGTGCGACTCTTCCAAATAGTGCCACAGGCCACGGTCTTGAAGCAGTACAACATTTTTAACTGTGAGATGCTATTATGAAAGTTATCGATGTATAAATGATAACCTTTATTCAGTAGTGGCATTATTAAGTCCCAGACAATTTTCCCACTTGTCCCTACTATATCTGGGCAACCTGGGGGATCAAGGTGGCTATCCCTTCCTTCGTATACACGGATGGTGTATACATAGCCACTGCCACTTTCACACAGTTTATAAAATTTGATCCCATATTGGGATCTTTTGGATGGGATATATTGTCTAAACCCCAGTCTTCCCTTAAACTTCATGAGGGACTCGTCAATGGAAATGTTTTTATTGGGGGTATATATAGTGGCAAATTTACTGTTAAAGTGGGCAATTAAAGGGCGTATTTTATAAAGAAGATCATACTGTGGATCACCTTTTGGGGGGCACTTGTTATTGTCACCTAAGTGTATAAATCATATAATATAATAAGTATGTCTTCATATCTTTCCCTCGTCATTGTCTCGGCAAAAATGGGGGTATTGCAAATAGGATGTTTAGACCAATACATCCTAATTGTGGGCTTTTTAATTAGCCCCATTAACATGGTCAGTGCCCAGAATTGTTTCCATTCTGGCACACTGGTTGGGTTCCATCTCTCTTTCCTGGAGATAAGAGAATCTGGATTGCGTGCCAGATAATGCTCCGCATAGAGATTAGTCTGGGTGACTATCTCCCCAAAAATCTCATCCCCCAAGAACAGCTGCATGACATCCAGCTCACTATAGCCAGACAGGTCAACCTGTATGCCAGGATTGGCTGTAAACACTGGGATGTCTGAGGAAAAATTATTAGGGGGTACCCAGTCACCTGCACCATGTTCAGCATTAGGGGAATCGTCGATTTCCCCTGATGGTCCTGCAGTATCTGGCACATAGTCCCTTGTCCCCTGCGTCACTCTCTGAGGCAGTGTCTGTCGCCTCTGAGTCGGCCGCTAACAGGGCATAAGCCTCCTCTGCACTATACTTCCTGAACATTGTTAAATACAGTTAACACAGCTAACAAAACTTTAACTAAATAACTAAATAATAAAATTTAACCCCTTAGGGTTACAAAAAAACATAAAATTTAACCCTTGAAAGTAAAAAAAAAAAATAGATCACAGGAAAGTACTGTGACCTGTATATTGATCACTGCTAGCAGTGATCAAGCAGCAGGGAAAGGTTAATTTTTTTTTTTTAATAAAGGGGAAAGGGATTAGGAACCTTTTTTAGATATTCACTATTCTTCTGGGACACAATGTTGCAACGATCCGTCTCTCTCCACTTTTCAAACCCACACAAGGTGGAGGGAGGCGGATCAGATATCCCAGCAGCATTATGACCGCTGTGACTGGTTGTCACAGCGATCACATAGGCTGGGATATCGGGATTTGCTGTTGCTGGTCTGCCCCTGACTCGGAGGCACCCGGCAACAGCGTTAACCCCGCAATCGCCGGCACCGCGGCGATCGGGGGTTAATTTTAACGCATGACGGACAAGGTCCATCACTCGTCATTAATGCTTAAGGGGTTAATACAGAGGATAAAGTAATTTTAAAGAAAGTATATTGAAAGTATATTAATTGATTCGATTTAATTTATCTATTTTGGTCCACTGTTCACTGATCTCAAGTATCATTCTGGTGTTCAAACATGTTTTCTTACGATACGTCGTGAGTTTATATCCACAACTGTATTTTGCTTTGTGGTAACAAATTGAAAGCCTGGCATTGTAAGACGTGTATGGACATGCTTATAACAAAGCATGGGCCCTCTCCTAATGTAGTTGGTCATTAACAGACACTTTGATGCAATGTGTCTACCAACGCTTTTCTGTGGTCACTGGATCACAAAAGCATACCCTATCTCTCAGTCATGATGCAGAGTTTATGCTTGCAAGGATATCCAGACCTTAACCACCTGGTATCCGCATAAATACTCCTATCGTTTAGAGGGGTTAATTACATAATAACCATTGAACGTAATATGTTGGTTGTTCTTCCTATAGAGGAAAGATAGACTTGCCCAAAAGCTTATTCATGTCTAGGACAAACTCATATAGAGAGAGTTATTGTACTTCTGACTCCTGAAAAGGAATATTAGTGGCCCAATATGGGAAATACTGTAATTTTTGTGTTTAGTAATCATAAGTATGTACTGTTTATTGAAATATTAATATCTAACGTACTTTTTGAATTACTATATATTGGAAGTTTGCCAACATCTCATGGTTATAAATATGTTTTTGTACGTGTTGATGCATGCACCAGGTTTACTTGGATATATCCTGTGCGAAGTGCATCCTCCGATGCCACGTTTTCTAGTCTCACTTCCTTAGTATGCATTTGATAATCCCTGGACCAGGGAGAGCTTAGAACCATTGGTTCTATTAGAGAAATTTAGGGAATTTTTTTTCCAGCCCACCTCACCATGCACCACCAACTATTTCCTACTGTTGGCCAGCTTGTCCTGGAGAAGGTGACTCCGAGAACTTTTACTACAGAGAACAATCAGAGCCAACAGAGAACAGTAAGTTTTGATATTTTACAACCTGCTAAATACTTCCAGGACGTTCACAGAACCACTGACTGATACAATGGATGCTGTTAAAGATGACAAGATAAAACAAACTGAGGACGACAGAAATGCCACCAGAACACAGCCACCAGAATCATAGCCACGTAACAGACTGAATCATGATCTGACATCTGAACCTGCAAATGTGAAGAAGGATGAACAGACAGACATGATACATTCACAGTTAACATGGAATATATGAAAAATGAATCAATATCATTATCAGAAAGACTCTGGAGAAAACAGACTGTACCTGAATTATCTTATACAGTAAGAAAGAAATGCAAAGATGCAAGCAAAAGGATTCTAGAAAATTGGTTATGGTGTCTCCTTCTTACAATCTGCAGCAAAATCATAACATCAACCCTAGCTGTTGTTTTAAAACTGCATTGGGATTATGTTAACAAGCAGGAAGCACCTGAACTGAATTGGACTGCACACTATACAAGTTCTTTGATCGTGAGGACTACCTCTAAGAACTATCTCAAAAGGAGAGACATAGCCCACAGTGAAATGATTGCTAATGTGACCTACACTGGTATTTCACAAGGAACCTATTGAGATCATTCCAAAAAACCTATTATACATGAGAAAGATGTGATTGGACTATTACAAATACTAATAATGGACTCAACGATAATGGCAAAGCATGCTGAAAACAGAAAAAGATGAGATAGATGCTTGTGAAAGACTTTGGATGCACCTATGAAGGTGATGCAAGAAAAGACTTTGCCATATAGTTTATCATTGAATGACTACGGCAAACAGCCATCTTATGCTGAAAAGAAGTGCTATGCTAATTTTGGACATTGCTATTATGTTTCCAGACAGATGACCGGAAAAAGAAATAAAGCTGTTTCTCAAGATGGAGCTGTTTCTCAAGATGGAACATGGTACTGACAAAACCTGAAAACCTGACAAAGCACCTCACAGTATAAGACACAGATTGTTGCCTACAACTCAGAATAAGTGGTTAATAGGAAGGAGCAGAAGAAGAGAAATATAGATTTCCTACTGGAGTGAAAAACCATCCTGGAACAATATTCTGTAACAATGAACTTTACAATGACATTTGGTGGCATATGAATTTGAATTCGGCAGAAAATATCCATTAACGAAAGAAACCTTGATGCAATTAATAAATAATAAGACCGGCCTACTAAGAGCAGATGCCCTGCCAGGAGAATGGGATAAAAAAATCCAGCAAAATCTTTCAGAAACTAGACATCATGGGACACTTGTACTAAAGCACGATTTGCAGCTTTTCTTAAACTCTAAATATTATGTACATACCTGCAAAGCAAGGTACTCCTGTATACATAAACACAGAGACATTGATACAACAAGGAATCTGTAATGGTTCTGTTGCAGACATGATATACCGATGTACTCCTTGCTCTTTTGGTATAACTATACCAATCAAAACGTTAAATGGCTCCATAAAATCAAACAACAAAGGATTCTTGCTATATTCTGGACTTCCAGGAAGTGGTGCATGGACAGAAAAATTATAATTACTAAAGCAATCATGCTATTTTTTTCCCTGTATCAGAAATGTGTCAGTGACAATGTGTAATATAATACAGATACTATAATTAATGGAATAAGATAAACACATAATGTGTTAATTACAAAGGTGGATAGACTTTGTGAATATCTGAAATGCAATTCAAGATTATTGCTAAAATGCCATATGCAGCTGCAGTCTGGCCTACAAACAAATATATTAGACATAAAGTATAAGAGCATAACAGCTAATTACCCAGATGAATAATTGAATCATGATAGTTAAAGATCATCCACAATAACAACTGCAATAATGAATCATGTTTAAACTTTAGAAGAAAATGTGAAATGTTTTTATTAAATCAGAAACTACTTGATATTCGTTTAAGTTTGCAGAGTGGTATAATTAATATAATCTAATTAATATAAGTGAAGTACTTCAACAGTTAAAATTTAACTGAAAGACAGGCAAAAACTGTACTTCACTTATCACAAACCTATATTTACAATGATAAACATATTCAGTCTGCCAGAGCTAAAGCTAGTCAATGGAAAGTCAAAGAGTATTATGGATTAACCTGTCCAGGTGATATACATGATGATTTTGGAAATTGATCATTTAGGTCACCTATTGCAAACTGGTGAAAAGATGTCAAAGATATAAATTCAACATCCATACCACTCTATGTATATATATTGAAATAAACGTAATCAAATATTTTATTGTTTTTTCAAATACCAAGAAAATGTTATTTGGTTTGTGATGATTAATCAATACATCATGCATATGATTATTAATTCATATTCTGATTGTAACATACCCCCACTTCAACCAGTTATAGTTACAACAGATTCTGATATCTATTGTTATGGAAGTGTTAAAACCACTTATACAAAGGTAGAGCTAAAATATAAGTACCTTCAATATAGTATCTGAGTGCTTTCTTAACTCACTTTTAGAAATAATAAAAAATTAAAATCGTCTTAAGCTACACCCAACAACCGCTGGTAAATATACTTAAACATTTAAGATCCACATTGTTAAGCATCCAATCTCACGAACGTGACTTTCCATAATGGCTGTCAGATCTTTTAAAGTAAATTTTTGGGTGTTTCTTGGATTTTAAGCCGCTAATAACTGTAGTTATTATATTTACTAACTGTAACTTAGGGAATAAGTTGTCTTCTCACTAACAGGACAAAGAAAGATGAATAATGTCATGTTTCCAATTAGCAACTCTTCTAAATATATTGAGAGATTTTGAATAAAGGAGTATTTTTAACATTTAAAGAGAATGTAATTTGACATACCATTGTGAACAAAGGCGGTAAATACTTTGCTGCTTCAAATTATCCTTATATATCTAAATCATATACAAGGGTGTTTATCTTTAATTCAAAACACTAGAAAGATTAACTATGTTACTATTTCATCTATCATTATTATACAAAGTATACCAAATGGAAAGATTTTTTCCACAGATTTTACCTATTAACATTTTTAGCACAACAGCACCTGATGTCGTTGAGATGTCTATCATTGAGATGTTACAAAGATTCCAATACAGCAAAAAGAGGCGTTCTTGAGTATCCACTTCTATTGCCGTATCAACATAACATTTACTATAATGAGATCCATGTCACTTAAGACAATGTCTTGGAAATGCTGTCAATAAATTTATTCCGTAAAATAATATCGGAGAACATCCAATCTATACACATCATAAACGGTATAAAAATGTTTCATGAAAAAAACAAAACAAAAAAAGCAAAGATAAAGAGAAATACCAACACCATCACCCCAGTGATAACCGATGATGCTGATTCAATATCTGCAACCAATTCTAGCCAAATATTTTGAAAGCTGGACTCTACAGCCTATACTCTACAACAAATACCCGGGTATTCTACAAACACAACCTCCAGCAATGTATCTAAGCAATGTAAACTTCTACAGGCCTTTACAGACTTTGGATTACAAATACAATTACTACTTTTAACTTTGGATTACAATTCGTATCCGGATCCATCCAAGAATATCTTACTCTGGAACTTTGTGTTCTTTTCAATTCTTTCCCAGACAAAAGCTTTGCTCATTTTAATCAACCATTTACAGGCAAAGATCACACTACGGATATTTTACTGTTACAACAATGATCAAAGATGCTGGGAGCACAAAAAAACCTAAAGACTGTTGGAGAACTTTGGTTCACTAATTTAAGGAAGAAATGCTCTACAACGCCCACAGTTTAATGGAGAGGGTGTTATGGGCAAATGCAAATATTACAAATATAAATGTTGTATTTCTTAAACTGTGTACTTTGTCTTTAAGATATATTGCAAACTGACAAGGGGTTAGAAATGGAACATATTGTTTTTCATAACTGTTTCTTTAAGCAATAACCTCAGTGCATAATATGTTTGTGCCATTTTGTCCCAGACGAATTACAGTAACAATAATGCATAAACAAGCTTCAAGGCTATGCTACGACTCTTTCAGTATGTAATATACTGTGGTAACCTTAGTAGATAAGGATGTTCAGACTTTAAGATGCCATCTTGAACCAAGTCAGGAAAATTTCCCTGACGACTTCTAGATCCCGATCAGAGTCGGTTTCAAACTGTCTTGGTAAGGCATCAGCCTTAGTATTACGAGATCAAGGCCTAAACATGATAATATAATTAAAATGAGAAAGAAACAAGGACCAGCTAGCCTGTCTAGACAAAACGTTTAGCCTCACTTATATAGGCCAAATTCTTGTGGTCCGTTATATTTATTACGGGAACTTTAGCTCCCTCTATCAAGTGTCTCCACTCTTTCAATGCCAGGATTATAGCTAATAATTCCCTGTTCCCTATATCATAATTAACCTCTGACGGTTATAGATTTTTGGAGAAGAAGCCACAAGGATGGAGTGGAGTGCCTTGGGACTCACGTTGAGAGAGAACAGCTCCAACCCCTGTCTCTGAAGCATTAACCTCTTATACAAAACGCTTGGAAGGGTCAGGATGCATGAGCACCGGGGCAGTTGAAAAGAGTCTTTTCAGTTGCTCAAAGTCAGACAACCGATGAATCCTTGAATGGCTTTACGACCTTTAGGTCTGGGCCATTGCAAGAGCGCCTCTAGATTTTTGGGATCCATTTCAAAACCCTTGGCTGAAATAATGTAACTCAAGAACTGTACCTCTGTCTGGTGGAATAAACATTTCTCTAATTTACAATATAAACCATTGTGTAATAGTGTTGTAAGTACTTTGGATACATGAACGTAGTAGGTAGTAATGTCTGGGGAATAAACGAGGATGTCGTCTAAATAGACTAGAACACAAGAATGAATGTATTCCCTTAAGACATCATTAATCAGGTCTTGGAAAACCGCTGGAGCGTTGCACATTCCAAAAGGCATTACGAGATATTCGTAATGTCCACTGTAACGGAACCGCTGGCACCCCGAACGGGTACCTTCCGCTGACAGATTCTCCTAGTGCTTTCCAATGACTCCAAGCACTCTGCCCGATACCATAACCACTGCAGACCCCACTAACCGCCGCAGCTTGATTGGGGTCTCGCTGTCTCCACCCACTCTGGACCCAAGACCAGGGTCCAGCTTCCAGTAGGCCGACCTCTCCGAATTCCATAGAGCAGGAACAAGGACAAGCCCTTACAAGAGCTTGCTCTGGGGAGTATTGTATTTATAGCAATCCCCAGAGTATAGGTAATTCTCCAATCCCCCAAACATGAGCCGAAACTTCATGAAGGTACAAGATGAACTCTTTAATTGGCACCAAAGGGTTTTCTTTTATGCAGGTTTTACACATAAAGTACCGCCCACAGGGTTTTGTAGAACAACCAATAAGACATGTACATTACAGTAAAAACACTCCCCTTTATTCCCACAAAATCCTCCCCTTTGCAGGAAAAATATACTTTTTACACATTTACTTTAACTTTAAAACTATACATCCAATCTCCATAAAAAAAGTTAACTGGAAGTCTTTTCTGACCGATCGCAAGCACATTTTCATGCCCAAAACAGTTCCATAGATTTGGGCTGTGCAGTCGGGCTATTTCAGGAAGAAAAAATGACTAAGTCCCATTCGAATGCACGAACGGGGCACCATTTGTGCAATTGACTCAGTATAGCAGTACATTCAAACTGCCGAACGGGACTTAGTTTCCAGCCGCAGAGTCTAAGTGTAGGAGAAGGTAAGGGTCAGCGGTGTTCATGCAATTGGTTTGCCGAAAACAGTTCCATAGATTTGGCTGCACGCACCGCTGACCGCGTTCGGCTCAATAAAGATGGCCGCCGTCATCCCCAGTGGTCAGCAGTTGACCTACAGCAATCTCCCAGCCTGGGTGGTAAATTGCCGACACGCTTCCACTTCTGTGTGGTCCGCCTGTGGGGTACTTGGTTCAGTACGCCCCATTTACTTAACCAAGTGGGAAAAGGACACAAATTCAGGATTTTAACAGTCTGGGGACACAGTTTTAAAGGGCCATACACACTAGGGCCATAGTCATGAGGGAGGAGGCTGGCAATCATGCTCCTTCAAAAGCCAGGGGCAAAGGGCAGTTGGTCACATAAACAACCAGTGACAAAAGACAGTTTGTCACATCCACTCCTTGTACTAAACACGTTTTTCCATGATTTTCTTTTATCGTGACCAGATTATATGCACTCTTTAAAGTCTAATTCCGTAAACACAGTAGTCCCCTTGAGTCTATCGAATAGTTCCGTGATAAGAGGAATTGGATATACGTTCCTCATAGTGATCTTGTTAAGACCTCTATAATTGATGCACGGTCGCAGGTCTCCCTCTTTCTTAGACACAAAAAAGAATCCTGCACCTGCAGGAGAGGAAGACCTATGTATGAAACCCTTGGCAAGAGCATCCTGGATATACTCTTCCATGATTTCCCTCTCATCCC